TCCCTACCTCAAAATGAACACATGGAAAGCTCATAGCAGTGTTCATTTGTGCCTTTGAACACTCCCACAGCAAATCACCCCACCCTAGAAACAGCCACACCTTTACACTAGGATACCTCTCCCCAGCCCTTTCTGGACTCGCTCCCCAGCTGTGTCACACCTCTCTGAACTAGGGATTAACCCCTGTTGAGTCTGAGATCCCTCGGCCCTGCTCTGGATCTGCACCCACAGCTGTTGGGGTTTCCTAAGATGTCAAGATGAGAGCCTGGCACAGCACATTCCCACCTCTATGCTCCTAGCAGTGAAGACCCCAGGTCAAACAACACCCTGCCACCTGGCATTTGCCACACATCATTGCCCCAACCCAGGATTGACTGTGTCTTAGCTCTCAGCAAGGGACCACTGGACCAACAATGGCATTAAACAGTCCCCACATGTGCCATCCTGGCTTCATCTCAGTATCACACTAGTGGTCCTTGTACAACTGTCCAGCCCAGAAGCAGCTGCATCTCAGTGACCAGTGACATCCCTCTGCAATCAGTCTCTATGTCTGACCCCAGAAGAGGCTTTAGCCCAGCCCTAAAGAAGACATCCCTATCCAAACAACCTCTGTCTCCCACCCCAGAAGTACTTGAACCTTAGCACTCAATGAAAGCACCATGTATAAGCAGCTCCTGCCACCCACCTCAGTGGCAACTGTATCTCAGTGATGTGCAAGGGAAGCCTATCTAACTTGTCAAGGGAGTATATCCATCTCTTCTGCCCCACCCCAGAGGCAGCTGCCTCTCAGCATAGAGTGAGGAATTGTCCACCTGGTGCAGGTTAACTGTGCTGAGGGATTGTTAAGGGTTATTATCAGCTACGGAAGAAACAGCCAGTGTGGGCAAGGGGATGAATTAGAGGCACAGGAAAGGATTCTCCTTCGTCATCCTACCCACTGTCAGTTCTGATGGCTCTGCCCCCTCGCACAACTGATAGGAGACCGCAAAGCCTTAGTGGGGTGAGCGGGGGAGGGTTGGAAGAGGAGGAATCGTCCAGTTCAGTGGATGAAATGAAAGTTCACCAACAATATTCAGTTCAGGGTGACTGAAAGGGAATGTGAAGGAAGGATCTGCCAAATGAAAAAAACAATCCTTTGACTTAACCTAATATTTTTCATTTCATTTTCAATCTATTTAAGCCTTTTATTTAGCCTCTGCTGTTTAAATTTAGGTCAATTTTTAAGCAATTTTGAAACCAAAAAAGCTTTGTTTTGAAAAATGCTCCAATAAATGTTCCAGCATTTCCAAAGCAAAAACCCATTTCATATTAAAAACGCTGAAGTGAAATGGTCAGGTATTTTCCCAGATCCCCCTAATTTACCTGTATTAAATCTAAATCCACAAAGCTCTATTTTTCAGCACATTTACTTAAAGGTAGGGGGGAATGACTCAGTTCTGGATACTACTTCCAGTGAATGGAAAAGGCAGGAACTGGGACTCTTGGATTTCCTCCTCATTGGAGGAGGAAGGACTTCTTCAGCTCTGAATCTTTATTTCTAATGGGGCTCGAGCAGGGTGGACCAAAAGCTGAACCTGCCCTGGAGACCCCTCATTGGTCTCCTCCCATTTTGCTCAGTTCTCTCCTACTCCCTAACACAGCTCAGGGAGCAGAGCAGTGGAAGAGGATTGAGCAGGTAGCTGGGGTGAGATCCCAGATAGGAATTGGGAATTATATCAGGACTAGCCGATTGCCCATCAAGAATGACGGCAGGGGGCAGCAGAGACAGAGGCCTGTGTCCAGCCCCACCCACACTTCGGGTCTAGCCCTGCTGCCCTGTCCCCCCACCCCATCCCCCTTTGGGTCCAGGGCTGTTTCCCCCCTCCCCTCCCCACCACTTCGGGTTCAGGCCCGTTCCCCCCCTGCCCCTGCCCCTGCCCCTCTCCCTCTCCCTCTCCCCCCACTTCGGGTCTGGGCCCATTCCATCCCTTCCCCCGCCGCTCCCAGTCCAGACCCATTCCCCTCTTCGCCCCACTTGAGATCCGCCTGGCCCTTGTCCACCTGCCTCCCCTGCCCACTCCCCTCTCTCCCTTTCCCGGCTGTTGGTGGGGCCCGGTGGTGGCAGTAGTGGGGCGCCATCACCATGCCCCTACCCCCTCTACCTCCCTCTCCCTCCCTGCCAGCTTTTGTCGAGGCCTGGCAGCAGCAGGGCAGTGGTGGCAATTCAGGATTTAGTCTCCAGCCTGTTGGGGGAAGTGAGTTTGAATCCCACTGCTGTTCTATGTTTAACAACTCTAATGAACGGTGCATATAATAATTAGCAACTTGCTGCTATCAAGGAAAGAACAACTGTGCTTAAACACAAGGGGGAGCGGTTGGACAAGACTAGGGAGCATTGCGTTCATCTAGGGAGCTTAACACACCCACGCTTAACATGCTAAGTTGCCACATGGGGACATAGTCAAACTATCTGTTTTGTGTTGCATGAACAGGAGCACAGTACAATAGTGCCTCCTTTTTTTTCTTCAGCAATCCCTCGCAGCCAAGGATGATTGTCTTCCATGATTGCCCTTTCTGTGTGTCCAAAGATGGCTGATGAGGCCTATCCAGGATTGACAGACTCTACCGCAGCTCAGACAGGTGTTTCCATGTGCCACGGTAGTATCACTCTGCCCCCGAAGTGCCTCTGCTAACCCAGCCCAGGGCTCTCCCCCTGCCACAGCCAGTTCTGCCAATTCTCCTCAGTCCTGGTTTATAACCCACTGCCATGCCAGTGGTGGGCTTCACCTAAACTAGTTCTTGTCAATGCCTTAAAATCCTGGTCTGCTTCCCTTTACTATCCCAGATTTGGGCTTCTTCCATTTTCATCTTTCTTGTACTCCTTGAGCCAGACTCACCACCCTTGGCTATCCTAGCTCTGTTCCTGCCCACCCACACCCCACAAACCTCTCTGCCAGTGCTTCTGAACCCTGACCCCCAGCCTCCCTGCTAGCCTGGCACTGGGCCCACACCTACACACATGAAACAATAGGATGGAAGAACCAAAGGAAAAGAACCTGGGATTCACACCAGGCCTGTGTATCTGTGGACTCCTTGGTCAAAGGAATTGGCAGGTCTGTCCCCAGTGAGGATGTGGAGAGTAAAAAATGTATGCAGCGGGGTAGGAGCAAGGATATAAGATGTGGACAAATGGCTGAAAAGGAGCAATGCAGAACTTCCATCTAGATAATTGCTTCTACAGTATTCCCATTGGGAGGCATCAAGGATGCCTATGCCCAGCTGCAGAAGGCACTCAAAAAGCTGTGTAGTCTTCAGATGAATTCTTCCATTCCTTAAAAAAGGAGGGAGAAGGTATAATATAGTAATGAACTCACGGAGTGACATAGTGAGGAAGGCTTGGGAAGTTCAACCACTGGGAGGCTTTCCTGGAGAGAGGCCCTCTCCTGACTACCAGATTCCCCCTGAGAAACTGAGTAAACAGTCACACTCCCAACCTGAGTAGGGATCCCTTCACAGGCCACAGTTATCGGTGCCAGGAGGTTTCCCCTCAGATTCACCCTTTTCCTGCTGGCCTTGGCAGACACAGCAATGAGGAGACTCCAGGAGTCCCAGGCCTGAGCTGTACCAAGGGGTGACTGCACTAGAAGTCTGCAGAGCTAATTGGCACTGGGCTCCAGGGGCTGCTTCTTTGGGACTCTGCTTCAGGGTCACTGCCAAAGTGGGGTTCCTCTGGTCCGGAAGGAGAGAAGAGCTCTGGCAGGCACTCTCCAGACCTGGGTTTTGGTCTTGAGAGTGAAGCAGAAGAGGGTTTTCATTGTCTGTGCTCATGAGAGGTCTCAGGGCCCTGCTGAAGGAGAGGGATGTTCACCTGACAAAGCCAGACACTGCTGCTGAGCCAGGGCTGCAGGGCTGACGGGCCTGAGGTAGTGAATTGTGAGGGCTGGGGCAAGGACAGAGGCTTGTGGGATCAGTGGAGGATGGGCTGGATGGATGGGGAAGGCTAAAATAAAGCCATAGGACAAGCAACCTGCAGTGAGGACAGCCTGAGCTCCTGCTCTGGACAATATGGCAGGGGCCAGCCTGTAATGGGGACTCCTGGAGCTGGAAGAATAATCCCATCCTGCCAGCTCCTATGTCTGAATCCAGGAGCTCAGTGACCCTTCCCAAGCCACTGTGGTATCAGGCACCACAGCCATAAGAAAACACCTCTTCCCATACAAAGTGATGACTGCCATCTCGCAGGAGCTCCAGGGAGGAGAAAGGGAAAAAGCAGCTCCTTCCACCTGGACCACAAGAGGATTCTCCTGGTACAAACCCCTTCCCTGCTGGTGTTAAATCCCTCAGCATTTAACAACAGTGAAACCTATGAAAGGGGGGGCATCTCTTGTGATTACGGGGCTGGGTGAACTGCTGCCTTCATCCTGGTCTCCCTGATTGTTGCCCTTCTGGTCTCAGGCCTCCTGCCTCTCTCTCTGCTGGGGTGAAATCCCACAATCTTCCCACCTGCAGATTGTGCCTCCTGGACTGTAGCCTCTATGGACTCACCACATAAACCCTCACCCAAGTAGTGGGTAAGTGCTGCAGTTTGAGCTAAGCAGGGAGCAGTGACCAGACAACATTGACGCCGCATGGGGGTGCACGCGGGTGCATGTTCACTCCCTGAGATTGGCAGTGCACCCCCTGAAAGAAGTGCTGCCACCATTGCCCGTGACGCCTGTGGCTGGTCGCCGCTCGTCACCCCCCTCCCCTCACCACCGACACCATCGGCGGCATCTGTGGGCAGTCGCTACTGGCCTCTGGCCGCCACCAACACTGCGGGTAATCGCTGACCACCAGTCAGTGCTCACCAGCCCCCACCCCCACTGC